TCATCGCAATTTGGAAGTTGTTTCCTACACACTTCTGGTATGAACCATGTGCGTAGAAATACAGGCTCCCCAAAAATCTTATTATAAAAGGGATGGCGGATTTCTGAGGGTCGCGTGGTTCCAATTGTTGCATTAGTTCGCGACAAAGTGATTTAGGAAAGCGAAAATTCTGGATAAAAACTATCTCCTGCATCGAAAACGGGTCGCTGTCGTCCCTGAGCTCCCTCAAAAGTCGCTTCCTTTCCAGGTTTTGCTCGTCTTCTACAAGCACGGCTGCGCAAATAACTAGAATTTGTTCTGTCATTGAAATTAGTATTTTTTATATTTTTTTCACAAATTTATTAAATCGTCGCACTTTTTATATCAACACAAACATATGTTTTTGCCTTGTCACCTGCCCAAAAGGTCATGACAATAAAAATGACAATTGGCATGATTCGAGCTTTTGAATTTTGCTGAGAATACCAAAAAGCTGCAATTGTCATTTTTATATCAATTGTCATCGCGGTGAGTTTTGTCAGTGTGGCGGAATAGGGCTGTTAATGTGCTGTTAATTGTGCATTTCAACGGTGGAGAAAAAATTTGCAGTGGTTAATTAGCTAAATCAATAGTTTTAACCTTATATGTAATACTTCTATATTGGCAGTAAGCTAACTTCTCAATGTGTAAGTATTCCGAAATCAAAGCGAGACAGTCTAGTACTGTTTTTATCAATGTATTGTGTACTTGAGTGCCGTTTTTGTTTATGTGTTGTGTACATGTTTGTTTATAAACGTTTGTGTTCCTTTTCTTTCGTACGTGTTTATTGATATATCTGTACTGTAGTGTTTTCGGACGGTACTAGCTCTTACTGCCAATATAGGAGTATTACATATATGGTTTTAACGAATATAGCTATTTTTTTCAATGTTTGTGCTGGTGGGGATGTGTGTGGTCTATGTGTTTTGACAGCCGTTATCGATAAAAATTAGAGAAGACAACGATTTGTTCTTGATTCGCATGTTGATTGGATCTGAATCACCCACGAATGAAGTGATTCGCTCTCAAAATTTTGTATGGCGAATTATGTGATTCGGTTCGTAATAGGGGCGCCAATCACGAATGAGAGAGCGAATTACGAATGGGAGAGCGAATCACTTGGCGTGGAAACATCGTTTAACGCAACTCGCCTCAACTCACCCAACCTAACTCATCTCATAGAACTCATGCCACGGTTCCGCGGAAGCTAAGTTCGTGAAAGTCTTGACGAAACCCCACTAAACTTATTGTTAGTTATGTTATATTAAGTTCGAAACATGCAACTGTCAGGATTATTTTGATTAAAATCAGGGACCGTAAATAACAGTTACTTTTTTCAACAGCTAAACTTGGCCAGATATTTTTAAGTTGAAAATAAAAGTCCTTTCCTAATAATAAACACACCGCTTATCCAAATTAAACAAGTGTGGTATCAACTGAAAGAGGACTAAAATAGCTTTAAAACTGAAATATTTAAACGAGGAGAGCCATCAGAAAGCCAGCTATTGAAAAATATTTAAATAAAAAATGTTTTTTAATTACCATAGAACAAACCTTGGGTCAGGTATATGCATTTCCTTTGTATTAAATTATAAAGAAAAATGTAAATAGAAGTGGTAGCCTTCGATCTTTATTTCTGTTAAAAAGCTATTTAAGTACTCTTTCATTTGGTACCAAATTTGTTTGATTTGGATAAGCGGTTTGTTTAATATCCGGAAAGACTTTTATTTCGAAATTAAAAAATATCTGGCTAAGTTTAACTGTTGGAAAAAATAACTGCTATCTATGATCCCTGATTAAAATTAATTAAGAGAACTTTAACTTCAGAACCACGGCCCAGGCGCACAAATCTTTTTACACCAAAGGTTGGAAATAAAACAAATTTTGCCTTATTTCCTATTGCTTATTTATACTATTTGTACAAAAAAAATAACAGTTTACTGGCAGAAGGGAAAAGAACTTTGTTTATTCCAAAAATACAATTAAACCAAGGCAAATGGAATAGGTAGTATCAGTATAGCAGCTGATTTGATTTTTTTTCAAATTATTTGTTCTCGAAAATGTCAAATATTTTTAATTTATTCTCATAAAATGTCTAAATTGTTAAAATCTATTTGCATGTGAACCTTTTCCCATACAAAACCAGCGATTGATTAGCAGCTTTTGGAACGCTCGCCCAACTCAGCAGCACAACCGCTGGTTACTGGGCCTGGCACAGAATGGATCAATGCTTCGAGAAGCAGACCAATTTACTAAGAAAGAAAGTTGCAACAATTTTAATTTTTAAGTTCTTTTTTCTATTTCAAAAGGCACTCTTTGATGTAGAAGAAAAAAATCAGAACAGTTTTTGACACTTTCGATACCAGAAGCAACAACAAAATACAGGCAAATGTTGTTTTTGCTCAAATGCTCTAAACCTGTTTGATAGGCGTTGAACTAAACAAAAAGTGTGATATAATTCATATGAAGAAAGTAATATTCACAAAATATTTTTACTTATGAAAGGTTATNCACAAATCTTTTTACACCAAAGGTTGGAAATAAAACAAATTTTGCCTTATTTCCTATTGCTTATTTATACTATTTGTACAAAAAAAATAACAGTTTACTGGCAGAAGGGAAAAGAACTTTGTTTATTCCAAAAATACAATTAAACCAAGGCAAATGGAATAGGTAGTATCAGTATAGCAGCTGATTTGATTTTTTTTCAAATTATTTGTTCTCGAAAATGTCAAATATTTTTAATTTATTCTCATAAAATGTCTAAATTGTTAAAATCTATTTGCATGTGAACCTTTTCCCATACAAAACCAGCGATTGATTAGCAGCTTTTGGAACGCTCGCCCAACTCAGCAGCACAACCGCTGGTTACTGGGCCTGGCACAGAATGGATCAATGCTTCGAGAAGCAGACCAATTTACTAAGAAAGAAAGTTGCAACAATTTTAATTTTTAAGTTCTTTTTTCTATTTCAAAAGGCACTCTTTGATGTAGAAGAAAAAAATCAGAACAGTTTTTGACACTTTCGATACCAGAAGCAACAACAAAATACAGGCAAATGTTGTTTTTGCTCAAATGCTCTAAACCTGTTTGATAGGCGTTGAACTAAACAAAAAGTGTGATATAATTCATATGAAGAAAGTAATATTCACAAAATATTTTTACTTATGAAAGGTTATCAAAATATAGGGAAAGCATCGTCTTTAATAACTGCTCGTCATATTGGACATAGCGCTTTTCTATGAATTTTATCTGCTTGCTTTTTAATATGTTCAAAACATTGCTGGAAAACCTTAAAATGTTTGCATGGAACAGTTTCGCAATAAGCAGATGAAGTAATAAAACGGCTTTCTCGCTTTTTTTTCTGAAGTTCGGCTGCCTTATAGTCACATTTTATAGGCAAATTTTCA